CTCAAGAAGGTAACAGTAGAACATCTTTTTAAATAGGCACGGCAACATAGTCTCTAGCATCCAGTGGAGGTGGCTATAAAACTAGTATACAGTGTCCAGCATTTGTGGTGTTGCCCGTGCAGTCTATCAAGTCTAATGCTCAGAACAGTGGCGGTGTCCTCCTCTTCAGGCTCCTTTGTGGCATACACTTGTCCAAGCTGCTGATTCTTTCATTTCCTATACATCTGCTCATTCTGATTCCCTTTCTTCTGCCTCCCCTCTGATATATTTTATTTTTAAATCAGGCAGTTTATCTGTTTCCTTGCAATTAAGAACATTGACTATTAGGAACCTCAGTACTATAATAAAGGGGAGGAGAAAACATTCATAGAAATAAAGTCTGAACATTTTCCAGAATAGAAGAAGGACATGAGTCATCAAATTAAAAGATCACATCAAGTTTCAAGCAGGAAATACAAAAACAGTTTCACACTGAGACTCATCAGACTGAAATTACAGAACATCAGAGAAAAAAGAATACGTAGAGAGAGCTTTAAAAAGATTGACAGACTGACACATCTAGTTTGTAACAATAGACAATATAACTGAAGACAGTAGAATGCATTCAAAACAATAAATTCAAGGTAACTGTCAATCTAGAATTTTATTAGCCATTCAAAAATGAGATGATTAAAAATGTTTTTTTTTCAGACCAAGATAATAATGTTTTTTCTCATAGGCCTTTACTAAGAAAACCATTAAAATATACACTTCAGAAAAAAAGAAAATTGAAAAAAATAATTTGGTATTTTTTAAAATGCTAATAAACAGGAAAATTAATCATATAATGTGGTAAATAAGTATTCACTACAAATATTGAAATAGTAGACAATATCTACTTAAAAAACAACATTAAATATACTTTCCATATAAAAATACATCTATTTTAAGTGTACATGTTGATGCATTTTTAAAACTTATGTTTTGGGGCCACTAGAACAATCAAGATACAGAACATTTCCATCAAGTGAAAAGTTCCTCTGTGTACTTCCGGGTCCATTTCTGTGTAGCTACATAAAAATATGCTGAACTCCCTGAAAAGAACATGTGACAGGGACCACGATTGCCTGGCTGCCTACCTTCTCGATTCACAAATGCCTTCGACAAGACTATGCTCCAGCAGGCAACTCCCAGTGAAGAACTAAGACTGCAGAGATGCTAAGCTGGCCCAGTCCTGCAGGACAGGGACTCCCAACTATTGCCCACTGTCGTGGGCACAAATAAAACCAAAATGGAAGACTAGGAGCCTGTAGCATCAGTTTCATCTTATTCTTTACAGGCATTTTCCCAATAAATCTCTTACATATTAAATTCCACTTGGTGTGTGTTTCTCAAAGGACACAAACAGACACGTGTACTAATCAGAGTGGACAAAGAAAGAGTTAGCAAAATAAGGTTTTGAAATTGGCTCATTTATCTGACTAGGAAAGATCATGTTTAGATTTGCTTTCTATAGTTTATTTTATTATTATTTTATTTTTAGTAGTTTTGATCTAAGTTCAGTTGGAATACAATAGTATATTGGTTATATTAGTTTTAGGTGTACAGTGTATTGACTCAAAATTTTTATACCTTGCAATGTGATTGATTACTAATTCTAGTAATTATCTGTCACCATGCAAACTTATCTCAAAAGTATCTACATATATATAAAAGCCTAAGCAACCAGCTGATGGCCCAGTAGCTATGATGCTCAATGACAACCAGGTGGAAGATGCTCAACACACAAGCATGGAAACTTGGAACAGAATGATGAATCTCAGAGGCCCTGGTGGAGGGGGGAGGGCAGGAAAAGGTTAACCAAAGATCTTATATGCATACTAGAGGCCTGGGTGTACATGCACAAGTGGGGTCCCTCATCCTGACCTGTGGAGATTGGGCTGAAACTGGCTCTCCGCCATCCCCTGAGGAGTCCCGGATTGCAAGCAGGCACAGGCCAAGCCAAGGAATCCCATCAGTGCACGATCGGGGCCAGGGAGGGATGTGGGAGGTTGGCCAACCAGAAGGGACCACGGAAGAGCTCCAAGGTGTGTCTGACCCATCTTGTTCAGTCCTGATAGGCTGGACCCCAGCAGCAAGCTAACCTACCAGTTGGAGTGTCTTCCCTCTGGTGGTTAGTTCACATCATAGTGACTGGTCGACCAGTCGACTGTCTGCCCCCTGGTGGATAGTGCAATATATAGCAAGTGGGAGAGCAGCCTTAGCATATCACTAGCATATTATGCTTTGATTGGTTGGATGGATGACAGGATGACCAGACACTTAGCACATTAGGCTTTTATTATATAGGATGCTGAAATAAACATAGGGTGAATACAACTTTTCAAATTAGTATTTTTATTTTCTTTGGATAAATAACCCACAGGTGGCATTGCTGGGTTGTGTGACACATATATTTTTGTTTTATGAGGACTCTTCTTATTGATTTACATAGTGACTGCACAAGTTTGCATTCCCATCAGCAGTGCACAAGGTTTCCCTTTTCTCCACAGCCTCAACAGCACATGTTAATTGTTGACTTTATGATAACAGCCATTCTTTTTTAAAAAAATATTTTATTGATTTTTTACAGAGAGGAAGGGAGAGAGATAGAGAGCTAGAAACATTGATGAGAGAGAAACATCAATCAGCTGCCTCCTGCACATCCCCCACTGGGGATGTGCCCATAACCCAGGTACACGCCCTTGACCGGAATCGAACCCGGGACCCTTCAGTCCGCAGGCCGACGCTCTATCCACTGAGCCAAACCGGTTTCAGCGTGATAACAGCCATTCTGATCAGTGTGAGGTGATAGCTCATTGTGGTTTATTTTAGATATAAAATTATATTATAAAATATGTTTCTTGGGAGACAACCAAGATGGCAGCATAGGTAAACACCTGTACTTGCTGCCTCTAACAACCACATCAAAACTACAACTAAAAGACAAAACAAATACTATCCAGAACCATGGGAAAGCTGGCTGAGTGGAAGTTCTACAACTAGAAGGAAAGAAAAAAGCTCATTGAGACTGGTAGGAGGTGTGGAGGTATGGAGGCATGCATGAAACAGGCTGGCAACTGGGTGAGCCTGTTGTTGTTTTTTTTTTCAATTGGGAGGGAGATGCAAGCTCCTTATTGCTCTGAACTCCAGTTATGGGCGAGACTCTGGGGACACAGACTCATAGAGGGAGAAACTGGACTGTCTGGCATTAGGACAGGAATGCGAGGGAGGCTTTCTCTCAGAGGTGCTCACAGCAATCATTGTTTCTGCACAGGACCACGGGACACAGAGACACAGGGACCTCTCCAGTGCAGGGCAGACTGGCAGCCATTGCTGTTTGCACCACCCTGGAGATTACCTGAGACCCCGACCCACCCAATTTACAACCCCAAGCTGTGAGTAGAGGCTTTTGCATATGACTGGCCTATCCTTTTGCAACCTAAAACCTAACAAACTGCAGCTGGGTCAGAGGGCTCCAAAGCTTCCAAAAGAAGGCCCAAGGCCCAGCAGCAACAGCTTGCCTTGCTTCACAGCTGGGCCTCATCTGGGCACTTCCAAACCCCAAACAAAGAAGAGGAATCTGCAGATCTCTCTGTAGCTCCTGCTGGGTGCCCTCAGGCAGTGGCTGACTTTGCACCTCCTTGGAGATCCAAGAGCCAGTGTACCCAGTGGTCAGTGTGAGACCATACCAAATTACATCTCTTTACATCCATAAGCAACACACTCAAGGGAGAGACTCAATGAGCCAAAGCCCCACTGAAGCAAGTACTGCCCCATAAGGGTGTCTTCAGCACATCAGTTCTTCCATTGTAGACACAGTTGGTCCTCACAGCCAATTGGCCTATAAGGTCAATTCCTCTCAGTGATAACAACAGCAATCACGGCTTAACTACAACAAGACTGCACACAGCCCACAAAGGGGTCCACCAAGAGTGTCCACCTCAGGTGATTGGGGAGGCTGAGCCACTGGGCTCTATAGGACACCTACCATACAAGGCCATTCTATAAACACAGGGAAGCAGCCAAAATGTGGAGACAAAGACACATGTCACAAATGAAAGAAATGAAGGAGAGCGCACTACTGGATATTGGGTTCAAAACCATGGTTATAATAGAGGAGCCCAAGAATCAAGTCAAAGATTTGAAATATGAAGAATCAAAAAACACCTAACTGGAAAAACAAAAAGAAAAAAGAATATAAAAATATGAAGATAGGATAAGGAGCATCTGGGACAACTTCAGGTATACCAACATCTGAATTATTTGGGTGACAGAAAAAGAGAGAGAGCAAGATACTGAAAACCTATCTGAAAAAATAATGACAGGAAACTTCCCCTACCTGGTGAAAGAAATAGACTTACAAGTCCAGGAAGCTCAGAGAACCGCAAACAAGAGGAATCCAAAAAGGACCACACCAAGACACATCATAAGTAAAATGCCAAGGGCAAAAGATAAAGTGATAATCCTAAAAGCAGCAAGAGAAAAACAGTTAGTTACCTACAAGGGAGTACCCATATGACTGTCAGCTGATTTCTCAACAGAAACGATGCAGACCAGAAGGGAGGGCAAGAAATATTCAAAGTGATGAATGCCAAGAACCTACAACCAAGATTACTCTACCCAGCAAAGCTATCATTTAGAACTGAAAGTCAGATAAAGAGCTTCACAGATAAGAAAAAGCTAAAGGAGTTCATCACCACCAAACCAGTATTATATGAAAGGCTGAAGGGGATTCTTTAATAAAAAGAGGAAGAAGAAAAAGGTAAAGATAAAAATTATGAAGAACAAAGTGACAACAAATACATATCTACTAACAAGTGAATCTTAAAATTAAGTGAATAAAAAATCTGATGAACAGAATAAACTGGTGAATATAATCGTTTCAGGGCCATAGAAAGAGAGTGGCCTGACAATTCTCAGGGGGGGGAGCGTGGGGGGTGTAGGAAGAGATTGAAAAAAATCTTATACCTATGGACAAGGACAGGGGGCAGGGTAAGGGCATGGGGTCAGGTGGGAACTGGGTGGAGGGCAGCTATGGGGGGAAAAGGGGGAACAACTATAATAATCTGAACAATAAAAATTTATTTAAAAAATATGTTTCTCTAAAATTGTGAATTCCTCTTGAATCCAACATCTCAGAATCTAGTAGACACACATGGTGCTACCCAATGACCTTGGGTATTGTGCATATTGTAATGGGCAATGCATATCTGAAGAAGAGATTACTGTGAATTTATGTCCAAAGATGGTTATATATATAGATGTTATATAAACAGCTGATCCAGTATTATCTTATATAATAGAAGCCTAATATGCTAAGTGTCCAGTTGTCTGGTCATCCATTCAACCAATCAAAGTGTAATATGCTAATGATATGCTAAGGCCACTCAACCACTTGCTATGACATGCACTGACCACCAGGGGAAGACACTCCAACTGGTAGGTTAGCTTGCTGCTGGGGTCTGGCCAATAGGGAATGAGTGAGATGGGCTGGACATGCCCTGGAGCCCAGCTGTGGTCCCTCCTGGCTGGCCAACCTCCTGCATCCCTCCCTGGCACTGATTGTGCACTGGTGGGGTCCCATGGCCTGTCCTGTGCCCTCTCACAATCCGGGACCCCTCGAGGGATTTCGGAGAGTCAGTTTCAGCCGAATCCTGCAGGCCAGGCTGAGGCACCCCACCAGTAATTTAATAATTCTCGACAGCCACTTATTCAATAATATTTTTTGTCAATCTATACTGATACTTGAGTTTTAGGGTTTTATTTTCTTTTATATAAGAAACACCTTAAATCATTCTTAAGATTTACACCTTAGAACATGGAGAAGCCTGGAGAGAGCAAAAGAGCAAGAGCACTATTTACTAAAGAAGAAGAGTCTTAAATAAGGTTGTTAAAGGAGTTTAGATGTAGTCCAATTTGTTTATTTTCTCCTTAGATTCCATTATTCTAGGAACTGTATTGGTAAAGATATTGCTATGACATATGTCTAACATTTTGCTGCCAATGGATTCTCCTAAGATTTTTATGGTTTCCCATCTAACATTTAAGAACTTTATCCATTTTGAGTTTATTTTTGTGTATGGTGTAAGTTGATGGTCTAGTTTCAATTTTTTTTGCATATATCTGACCAATTTTCCCAACACCTTTTATTGAAGAGACTGTCTTGACTTCATTGTATGCTCTTGCCTCCTTTGTCAAATATTAATTGAGCATAATGGCTTGGGTCCATTTCTGGGTTCTCTGTTCTGATCCATTGCTCTT